GGTGAACTTTAAAGGAATAGTACACCCAAAACATGATTAGCCTACATTTTCTACTCACCCCCATGCTGAACAACACTCTGGAGTACTTTTTTGATATCTCAAATGCATCTGGAGATCTGGGAGGCTTCTTGCTGTCTGCTGACATTCAAATAATGGAGGTCTATGGCGCCTGAGGCAGAAAGCTCCATAAAAGTCCACAAAAAACGTGTCAATATTCCTCCATACTGCTCGTCCAATGTATTCCAAGTGTCCTGAGTGGGTAGCATCCAGAATTTACTCGAAACAAAGTCATTTAGAATGTTTTTAGAGCATAAACAGTAGTGTATAGGATTTCCTAAAAGCGCGCACCTGCGCGTTCATGACGCTACGGAAGCCGGCAGACCAAACCAGATGAAAGTGCGCATTCAGCGTCTGCTCTGCCGATAATGCAAGCGTAGAAGAAGAAATGTGCTGTTTACCTGTGCAAAGAAAGAAACAACGAAAGAAAAATGTCTGAGGACTTCAGTGTTGAGGAAGAGCATGAGTTCTTTGCTGCGCTGAATGCGCACTTTCATCTGGTTTGGTCTGCCCCGGTTTCCGTAGCGTCGTGAACTCGCAGGCGCGCGCTTTCAGGAAATCCTATACACTACTGTTTATTCTCTAAAAACATTCTAAAGGACTTCGTTTCGAGTAAATTCTGGATGCTACCCACTCAGGACACTTGGAATACATTGGACGAGCAGTATGGAGGAATATTGACACGTTTTTTGTGGACTTTTATGGACCTTTCTGTCTCAGGCGCCATAGACCTCCATTATTTGAATGCCAGCAGACAACAAGAAGCCTCCCAGATCTCCAGATGCATTTGAGATATCAAAAAAGTACTCCAGAGTGTTGTTCAGCATGGGGGTGAGTAGAAAATGAAGGCTAATCATGTTTTGGGTGTACTATTCCTTTAACCTCACGGACTGCTGCTAAATAGTTCTCTATGAACACATTTTTTATCGCCTTGGGGAGACATTGATGTTTCGAAATCCCCAAAAAGCACTTCCTCGCAAAGGCAACAAACTGGGCAGTGGGCAGTCACAGAGGATTCTGTGCTGGAGGTAAAAGATGACGATGAAAAGTCCTTATAGGCCTTTTTCAAAGCCACCTAAAAAAACTCTTGAGAGCATTCCTTATTTCTACCTTTGTTAACATTAATTATCTCTATTCCATTTTAAATGAAAACAGCTTTGCCTACAACCATTTCCCGATAGGATGCAGTTTTGCGATTTCACGAAAAAGATCAGCTTGTTTTCTTTAGCAATCACCACTCTGCTCTCTCCATGTGGTGCTGCTGTTTAACAACACCTCAGCTCTATCAAGTAGCATGAGGTGAGAGCGGAGAAGTGAACGGGTCACGGTGTGGGATCACTGCTGGCATCTTCCCCGCCCCTCCCCACGCGATTTGCATAAAGATACTATGCAAATCCACGGCCCTTGCTGCGTACACCATGCTCTGTCTGAATGGACCTTTACTCTGTTTTGTGTCTGGTTTGCTCCTCAACCTCAGCAGAAATATCTTATCTTTGCCTCTCAGGATTAGTCCCCACCTGTTCTGCTTTATCTCCACTTCACCATCTCTGCATTCATGCAGAGGGGGGTTATCTACTCAATCACACAGCCACTAGGTCTGTTCTTCAGGGGTAATACTTGTGCAGCTACCTCCAAGTAGAGAATGCAATGATAACTACAAGCAAGAATAAACAGACACTTTACTTTCAAAATGCACAGCCTCAGTTGAGCAAGCAGCATTCAGACTTTCTTTTTACAGGGGATATTACAACCAAAGGGTTTTTTTTAGTTCCCCCAGTAAAATCTGAATTTGTCTAGGATCTATTTAAAGTGGCGGTTAAAGTGGCAGATAAACCAGTTAAGGTGGCTATGAAGGTGGCAAAGTGATCAGAATCTAGAACAACTGGAGGCAGCTAGAAGGTTCTAGCCTTTCTGACCTTACAAAGCCTTGATTCCCTAAAATAAAGTGGAGAGTTTGTCTGCAATGATTTTTTTGGTTTCTGTTCTATTAATCCCATTATGTGATCTGAATTAGCAGAAGACTATGCATGGATGGAAATAGATTTTCATTTACTAACACTCCATTTTATTCTGCTTTTTAAATATCATTAAAACTTCTAAACGTTACTTTAGAGTATTTGATAATCTCAGTTTAAAGTGTTATTTTGAAGCAAACTAACCAGAAAAAAATGCAGTAACTTTACCAAAAGTCTATATTTTCACACATTAATGCAAGTAAAAAAAATGGACATTGCAGACCATGAGATCTCCTCAGATAGCAGATTCCTTCTCCACTTGCTCAGACACGAGTTCCATCATGTGCTTCCTATAACCAGAAACTGACTCATGTGCAAGAAAGGAGTTTTTCTTTTCAAATGGTTCACACGGGCAGGAAAGTAGCACACAGAGCCAGTGGGCATGAAACTGATCACCCCATGATGTCTTTGGAGATCTAACTCGTCCAGCTGACAGTTTGGCAAAAAAGAGAAGGAAAAAAAAACATAAAAATGTGCAAAAAATGAGGAATTTGGACCCCGAGAACACAGCCTCTCTGATCACTCTTGATTTTCAAGTTAAAGGCTGATGCTCTTTCAGTTTAAGTGTTGGAGGATTTTGTTCTTGAAAAATGAAATTTCAACAGCTTTTAATGAGAGCAGCACCAAAAGGAAGAACAAAATGCTACACCCTGCATTATATGTATATTTAATCTGATTTTATACATTAACCTGAGGCTCTGAGTAGATAAGAAGAAAAAAAATCTTTTCAAACTCATAATGAACAAATAATTGAATCAAATCTTCACACAAGGTCGTGTTGTTTAGATGGAGCCATGTTTTTACAGGAATACCCTCCGGAAGTCTGACAGCACCCGATTAATATTTTAAATGTAAAGACAGAGAGCCTCCAGGATAATACTACATTACAGCCAGACATTCTATGCATTCAAATAAATCCTGCTGCTCTTACTGTCTTATCTGGGCCTTTGAGTTGTGTGTGCTGAACGCCTGATCCGGTGAAATCGCCAGCGGGAGCACTAAAACCAGTTGAAATGAATTCTTGAGTATTAATTATGAGCTATAAAACTGAACACTGCTGCTTCTTGATTATGCACACTTCAAGCTGAACAGAGGCCTGCTGGGCACGGCATGTGATCCCTCTGCACACATTAGTTAACATGCCAAAGTTAGGTCCGGGCGGGAGAACAACGGAGAAGGAAGAGAAAGCAGATCTGCTAAAGATGAGATGATCAATAGAAGCAATCCGTCTTGCTCCTTTACTACCTCCTAAACCCAAAAACATCTGGGTTAAATCAGCAAATTTAGTATAACTTTAATTATGGAGTACAACTCCACCTAATAGATGTCCTAAATTACCATTTAGTGCAGATACACTGCATAAACTATCCAAAAATTTGTAGTTTTTTCTTAAAATAAGTATTACCTTTTAATTTGAATAGGTAAATAAGATGATCTGACAATGAAATTAGTATTTTACCCTTAAAATCAGATAACTAAATGTAAATCGTTTTGTTCAATTGGCAAAGTGTCTCATTTACCAGCTAAATTCAAGAAGAAATGTACTTATTTTAAGAAAAAAAATACTTATTTGTATTTCATTTTTTTGCAGTGTATGACGTATAAAACACTTAACATGAACATAATTCATCCAGAAAACACTATTGGTAGAGCCACCAGCCTCCCATTAACCCTAAAACAGATTTTAATGACAATAAAACAAATCTGTCATTCTGTTATGTTCTGTTTTTGTTAAAATTGTACTAAAAAAACTGCTATTCAGGCACATTCGGAAAAAATGTACCAATTTGTGACTGACTAACAGCTGGCAGAGCTTTCCCCTTAATTTAGTAATAAGTAAAACCAGCATCTAATAGTAAACTGACCCACATCCTGACTCCTTTGGTTCTGATTTCTGCACCACTGTCTTGTAGCCTGATAAAGTTGATTTATTAAGTTCCATTGTTTGAACAATCTGATTACGACTCCCTCCAGTGCAACGGGAGTTGAGTCGGAGGTTTTTTTTAGTGCTATGTCACATCATCTACTCAGTGAAAAAACAACTGCCTTTAATTATCAAGGTGTGAAACATCCGCAAAGCTCCTTGGTGTCTGATACTATCTACTAGGAGCCAGAAGTGAGAGGAATAAATTTAGCTCAAGTCACTAATGAGGCTGACTTGTTGCATTTAAATTGCCGAGTTTAAAATGAGTTATTCATGATCGGAGAGAAGTCGGCCTACTCTGCAGTTGCACACTTTTATTAAAGCAATAGCTGTGATATATGCTGGTAAAGAAAAATGGGTGATTTACTGTATTTCATTACATCCTGTGTTTTAGCTCTTGGTTTTGTTGCAGATCATTGCTTGTATTGACATATCATAAACCTCTTTACTATGTTTCACCTCTTCCATCAAGATCATTTTAAACTCTACATATCTCCTAGCTTTAATTACGGATGGTTCTTTTTAAAGATTAAACCACTAAAATGGTAAGAAGTGGATTTCACATATTTCAGAAACTTTGAAGTAGTTTCTCAGCAGGTTACTTAAAAAGTTAAAAAGAGAAGCAATACGACTATCATGAAAACACTACTACCATATATGATGGGACGAATGTAGCAGCCAAATGTTTTACATAATTTATACGTTTCCTTTCTTTAACAAAGATCTGTCATCCAATGCAAAGTCTTGCATTTACCATTGAAAGTTATTTGACAACCAATACTGTTGTTTTTCATCATCAGGCTATATTTAATACTGTATGCACAACTGTCAAATTGTAGACTTTTAAAGGTGATACTACAGTATATGCAGAAAGAAGAATTTTAAAGTAGAAATATATAGAAAAGATTTACCCACTGTCTGTATGGGTGTGTGTGTTTAAGGATGCTGGATGCTCAATAATGCATCAATCGACCTGTAGCTCATTCTTTAGAGCGTCTATTCACCTGAGGACGGATGACTCTCTCGATGTTCTTCAGGGCTGTGTCAGGGGAGGGGGGCGAGCAGTCGGGTGTGGGGCCTGTTGAGCAGTTGTCATGGTTACCATGCTCCTCCCCGCTCACGGCAGCATGGGACAAGTGACCTTGGAGCAAAAGGACAAGTCAGAAGCAGGTACAGAGAGAAAACAAAGATTTGTTTGGTTTTCCCATGCATAGTTTTAAAATAATTTTTTTCTCCTTAACATTTTCTGAACTATTCAATATGTTTTTATACTGAAACCGTTAAAGAAAAAAATAACACAAGAAGTTGCAGTTCAAAGTGGGAAATCATGACACTCATAACAGTTAGGGTAAAATGATCAACAGGTCAATATATTTAGAAGAAAAAATGACTTCTAATATTTTCATTACAAAAATACAAACATTAGCTGATCTAAATTATTATTTTACTTTGTAAAACATGAAATTCTGACAAACCCAAAGCAGAATTTGTAAAATAAATAATTGAACAGCTTAAGGAAGCTCACTTAAGTGGAACGTTGATTTAATGATGCAATTTGTTAATCTTTTGAATTGAGTTTATTTCTGTTTTTGCTTGCGTAATCTTTTATCATTAATTTTTAAATAGTTTACTTCTCGTTTTCCATGTTTATGCTTTTGTCATGTTGATTCTTTTTCAGCTCAAAAATATATTTTAGCAAATACCAATGAAAAAATATTTGACAGAATGAAAATAATGTATATATTTTGCTAGCTGTACATAAATACATTCATTATAGGAAGGATATCAGTTAATATGTTGAGTTTATCCCTGCTGAGGTCGCGAGGGATGCTGATGCCTGGATGGATGTTGAAGATGAAAGCAGGCAAGAAGCTTCTGCTTCTGGCTGTAAGGGATTCTGAAGAGTTTTTGTTCTTGGTTTGAAAGATTAAAATGAAATGTAAACTGAACAAAGAAATTCAGATTTTATATATATATATAAATTCTGTACATTTAAAATAAATCTGTAATTCATTTAATATTAATAAGGTTTTTATGATGTATGATAAAAAAAAATTGCATAAATTTGTTTTTTCTTTTAGTCAGTGATGACACCAGCAAATGGGGTAACTTCTATATATAGACTAGTACTCTACTATAAATGCTGATTTTTTTGTTGTATCACAAATCATCAATGCTTTCATTCTTTTTAACTAAAAAATATC